GAAAAATCAGGAGTCATGGATGTCGCAAAGCTATGTTGAGTAGGGGCTGCGACATCTCTCATGTATCGAAGCTAAGGTTGGTTGCTCGGGCCTATTTTCTTCCATGAGGATATGTTGTTTGATCCGATCGTTCATGCCATTTTTCTTGCTTCTTTTAACATTTGGTTTACCAATTTGTGAATTGTGATAATAAATACCTCCTTCACTCTATTAGGCCCTAGAGAAACAGTGTGACCACTTGAGGACATGATCCTCATGCTAGAGAGTGCTTTGGGCTCACGTAGATTGAGCCGACGTGCCAGAGAGGAGAGATAATGCTGACGCGGGTAAAGATAAAACTATTGTCGAAGTCAATTGAATATAGATGGAAGGGACACTTAGGTATTTTCGTGAATTCTAGTGTACTACAATTGTGTGTTTGTAATCTCAAAAGGAAACAATGTGTTTGTTCACTTGTTGGGGGTATTGTTTAAATGGGCAGTGATACGTGCAGGCACGCCGGTCCAAATTTGGGCCGATCGGCCTGCAGCGTCTGATCCAGCATGCAGGAGCCGTCCGATCCTCCCTCCTCCCACGTCATCATCCCCCCACCCCCCGCGCTTCTTGGTTCAGATCCACCGGCGCGACATGTCCCTGCCCCGGCCACCGCGTGCGTGTGCTCCGGAGAGACGCAGAAGCCCCCACGTCCTCTCCTCGCCGTCGCCGCTCGTCGCAGCACCCAGCCGCTCGTCGCTGCACCCTCTCTTGGACCCCAGACGTCGTTTTTTTGGCTCCGGCGAGGTAGCAAAGAAATCGTCGGTTCCAGCTTTCCGGACAACGGTTCCAGCTTTTTTGTTCGTAGCGTCGCCAGCCACAGCTTCAACATCACCGCTTGCATCATATATGGCCATGAGTCATAGCTTTTCTATTGCCGACTGTAGCATTTTCTTCTGCGAGATGCATCTTCCCTGGTCGCCGATAGCAGTTGTCTGCCTCACCGACCAAAAAATTGCACCGTCGCTGATGCAACAAAATTGGGCACTGATTGTAGCTTTTTCACGGGCGGTTGCAGCTCTGGCGCATGAGGTTGCAGCTTCCACACCCCACTGCCGTCGTCGCAGCCCCGATGATCAAGGTCGCCGTTCGCAGCTTCAAATTCGCCGCTTGCAACAAAATGGTCAGCGAGTTGTAGCTTTTTCATTTGCCGGTTGTAGCTTTTTTCTTCTGTGGGATGCATTTTCACGGTCGCATGTAGCAAAACACGACGCCGGTTATAGCCGGATGGGAAACCAGTTGAAGCAATTTGTGATGCCGGTTGTAGCTCGCGGCTCCGGTGATGTCCCCTCTCCTCCCATCCCCATGTCAGGTGCACCCCGTCGTCGCAGCTTCTCGTGCCTTGGGTGTGCCTCGCTGTTGCAGTTATGTGGCTCGTTCACCGGAGCTGGGTAAACTGCTGGAGCTGGAGATGGTGTGCTGGGAGAATAGCCGGAGTTGCAGATAAGAGGTGGCCGTGCGCGTGGGGAAATCACCGGCCGTGCGGTGGATGACGACCTCACCGGCGAGATTGGGCTGCAGCGGGTAGGGGTTGATGGGGGCCTCGCGAAACAAGAGCGTGTGGTAGCGGGCGACCGCCCGACGCGCCGTCTTCAAACGTTTTCCTTTTTAAATCCACACCAAACGAGCTAATAGTCATACACGCACTAACAGTACTTTGGTTACGGAGGGAGTATTAATTTGGTTACAGAGGGAGTATTAATTTGGTTAGGGTTTAAATCCAAAATCTACAACATAGACTGTGTGTGATGGGGGACGGCGGGGCCTTCTCTCGGCCAATTCGATAGCACACCTTTGTAATACTGGTGTCTCCTATATAAACCGACCAAAATCGTGGATTTGCCCCGTTTCCAACGTTCATCCTTCCTTCCCGTCGCCTTCTCTCCTCACAGATTTCTCCCCCCAAATTCGTCCCCTTCTCAGCCCCATTTTCCACCCCGTGTTCCTTCGTTCGTCGCGATTTGTTCTCCCGGCGGCGACGAAAGCACGGCGACGCAGCAAGCCAGCCTCACTGGTTACTGGCACTGGACCGGCGCGGATTGATTTCTTCTTTCCTCGGTAAGGAGCCCTAATTAAGTTTGGCCGGATGAACTGCTCATGAGCTCGGCTCGTCTCGTTATTTGCGGTTGCAGCTAGCAATTAAAGTCCGAACCATTCTTCTCTCCATTCAGTTCAGTTAGTTGCCGATTTGTTTGTTGACTGGTACCCTATCAGTCTCATCCATCCGCCCATGGCCCGATTTGTACCGCGCGAGGTCGATCTGAGCAGCCCCTACAGGATTTACCCAGGAGCTGCGCAGCTTACGTTTGCAAATGATTGGGTTTTACTGAATTTCCATGCCGCACGTTGGGTCCGCCCCTGCGTGGCTCAAGGATTCCTTTGTATCCGAGCCGTACTGCAAGTGTATCAGTGAATTGGGAGAAGTGATTGGGGGTTGTTCATATTTGTACAGCCACTTTCTTGTTTTCCCTGCTGTTCCATGTTCTCTGCTTTGTTTGTAAAACCAGTTCTCCAGTTTCGGACAGTCGAACAGATATGTTGATTTTGATGTTAAGTGAGTACTTATTGTCAGCAGTTTAGTACAGTATTTGGCATGTTGTTCTTCTTCCAACATTCTTAGATGGCCAATCTCACAAATCC